TCCAGGTTTGTCCTAAATCCAACGACAAGTGTTCTTCTGAAAGACAGAAGAATAGAAGACACAGAAAGAAAGAGGAGAGACTTGTGAAGATGAAGGCAGAGTTTGGAGACATGCAGCTGCAAGGAATGTGCACAGCCACCAGAAGCTGGGAGAGACAGGGAAGGAGTCTCCCTTAGAGTCTCTAGAGGGAGTGTGGCCCTGCTGAAACCTTAATTCCACACTTCTGGCCTCCAGAACCGCAAGGAATGCATTTCTGTTGTTTTAAGCCACCAGGCTTGTGGTGATTTGTTACGGCAGCCCTGGGAAACAGACACAGAGCCCATGGGCATAAACAGCATTTTTGAAACATGTTAATTATGTGTGCAGTCTCGATTTATAGTTTGGCTGGATGTGGAATTCTAGTTGCAAAAAATGATTTTTTATATTTCTCTTTCCTGATACATTTATAAGTTGACATTCTTCCCTAATTACCAGCTTTTCCTGTCCCATCTTTGTGTGTGCGTGTGTTTTACTAACAGATTATTCAGTGTGTATCATCACTTCCTATCATTATTCAATATCATGTTCAAATTATCCCCAATATTAACCAGTGAGAGCCCCTTCCAGTTGGCTTTTGTGTCTTTTTGATATGTTCCCATCAGTAATTTAGCACAAAGCTCACCATGAGTTTTTTCTGTCCCACCTCTGGAACCAGCCATTTCTCCAAGAATAGGTTCATTGATTGGGAAATAATATTTAGAAAGTAAGATATGAGTCTTGAGTATAATGCCATTCTTCTTTCTTACCTTTCTTCTGTAAGTTGTTTTTTTTAAATCTCTCTGGAATTGTTCAGGAACTTCTCCCCGGCCCCACCAAGTGTTCTGAAATTCCATGATAACATGCCTTGGGTTTGATTTTCCACTTATTGTGACTTTTTCAATCTAAAAACTCATGGCCTTCAGGTCTAGAAAGTTGTCTTCAGTTATTTATCCATGATATCTCCCCCTCCATTTTGCCTATTTTTCTTTCTAGATCCCCTATTATTTGGAAGTTGGGTTTTCCAGATAGATCTTTTCCCTCTTCTGGCCACATCTTCAGATATGACATAATTATACACTGATTGCATATAACAAGGCTCAATGTAATAGCAGCTTTATGGTTAGTGAGAGTGTAAAGCATATACTGTAGAGGACTTAGAGACACTGAAGCAACCGTGGTATGTGAGAGATATAGGATGATAGTAAAAGCAGTGAATTGAAAGACAGACAAATACGTTCTAACCTCAGTTCTGCCACTCACGAGTTTAAGGATTGTGATAGATTGTCTGCAAAGGCGGTTGACAACAGTTCCTTCCACCCATGTAAACATATGTCACTCCCTTTATGAAGAGGTGGAAGCACTGTCCCCTTCCCTTGAACCTGGGTTGTGTGAGTTGCTTTGATTAACTGAACACAGTGGAAGTGAGACAGTTCCAGTTCTGGGCCTGGCAGCTTCCACTTTCACTGTTGAAAACCAGTAATTACCCTGCTGGAGGGAGCCCTTGTAGATTTTCTGACCTCATTTGGGTCTTCCTAGACGATGCCTCATAGACCAGAGATGAGCTGACCCCAGGAGCTCTGCCCTTAGTAGAATCATGAACAAATACATGGTGGTGGTTGTTTTAAGCCTCTAAGATTTGGAAGTGGTCTATTTCCTTGTAATAGTTAACTGAAACAGAAATTAGTACCTGTACATGGAGTGTTGCTGTAACAAAAACCTAAAATACGTGATATTGACTTCCCTGTGATAGTAACCAGAGAGAAGACTGTTAGCAGAGGTTGGAAAAGTGGTAAGGAAAATTACTATGGAAGGTTGGAGGAAAGGCAACCTAAGTTATTATGTATTGGCAGAATGCCTGTGGTCACATGAATGATAGAAAATGTGCCTAATGAACTGGTGGATCTAACCAAGGAGATTTCCAGCCAGAATGCTGAAAATGCCAGTGGTCTTCTTTTAGCTGTTTTTGATAAAATACAAGAAGGAAAAAGGCACTAAGTAAAGATCTGTTTGTTTTTCAAGCAGAATTCTAGCCAGTGAAAGATTTGCAGGGTAAGAAATGGCCTCAGGATAAAGATCAAATCAAAACCTTTTATTTTTAAGATTCCAGAAAGATTTAATGTGGTACCTTGAAGACAATCTCAGGGTTTCTGAGAATCTTAAGTACATTGTTCTAGCCTGACAAGCTCAAAGTAGAGAGAGAGGTCTGTGTTTAGAAAGAATAATCAGTGGGAATTTTGGAGCATGGAGTTAAGCCTCTTTAAGACTTACAGAAATTCCACCATGTTTTTGAGAAAATTGCATTGGATGTGAATTTTGGAGCATGCAATGAACCTCAATAAGATTTATAGAAAATCCACAGTATTTTAAAGACAATTGTATTAATGAAAGAACTGACAGGTTGGACACAAACAGTTCAAAGTGGAAAGAAGTTTCTGGACCTTCGAGTTCCTCTTAGCAGAAAGCAGACTCAGAGAGCTTCTCAACTACAAATATGGACCATTCTTAAGGAAAAGGAAAAACATCTCAGAGTGGTATCAAGAGGCCAGAAGGCAAAGCCTTCTGGATGGATTAAAGCAGGGATCGGCAAACTGCAGCCCATTAAGCCAACCCAGCTTGTTTTTGGATAACCCACAAGCTAAAAGGCCTGGCAGCTTCAGCTTCTGCTTCTTGGGAGCCGGCTGCCATTACTCTCCTGGTGTAGAGAGGAGGACCTGGCGGATGAGAGACTCAGCCTGCTCTCAGCCATTCTGGCAACCCCAGCTCAGGCACCAGACAAATGAGTGAAGCTACTTTCCAGCAACCCGAGTTGAGCTGCCCCACCCAACATCATGTAGAACAGACCCAAGCTGTCCCCACGGAGTCCTGTCCAACTGCAAACTCATGAGCAAATAAGTGTTTTTTTTTTTTACATTTTCACCACTAAGTTTTGGTGGCAAATTGTTAAAATGCAGCAAGCAACTTAAGTGCATTATTTAATCTCTGGACTGGGTAGACTTTATTTGGACTCCAGTTTCTTCATCTATAAAAATCAAGGACTGGACAAGTTAGTTTCTTAAGGCCCGTCTCCACTCTAACGTTCTATTACTGGGTGAATAAATCTCTTATTCTGAAATTTTTTAATGAGTGCCTATCACTGCTAGCTAGGCACTGTTAGCCCTGTTGAGGTGCAGCAGATAAAGGGTGAACAAAATGAAGTCGAGGCTTTAGAGGACATTACACACAACAGCAGACATTATCTGAGATCTGTTGTAGTAAAAGGTTCTTCCAGCCATGGGGGAAAAAGAAAGAAAGGAGTCTTTGCGCTCAGAGATTCAGAAGTTCTTTTATACTGGCAGAATGGGCCCCACATTCCTCAGAAATAGCAAACCATGACTTCTGATAGCTTCCTTTTTATGATAACACCAGTATGAAGTTCTGTAGCACCAAGTAAACTCTGGCTGTTGAACAGATCTGTATGTTTGGATTTGCTGGATGCCCAAGATAAGCAGAAGCATTCTTTTGGATAGTTGGGATGGCTGTTAGGTATTCTTCACGATTTGAATTAAACCTTATCTTCTGTAGAGGGCCTGTCACAGCACAACTAGGAGTCATTGGCTGGGCAACCAGCCCTGAGACGAGAAAGGAGGCAGAATCCTGTCCACCATCATTGTGAGCCCGCGTTCTCCTTCTGTTCCAAAACGCTCAGGGAGTGGGCAGAAAAACGTGATTTCTGGCTCTAAAGCTTTCAGCCTAAATTGAAGAGCTATAAATGTAAACCAGACATTGTATCAACAGAGTTGCTTTATTTTCTGTTTGTCCTTCCCACAGTACCTATCTTGTTTCATTCCAGAGTGAGAGAAATGGTAACAGTAAACTCTGGGCCGAGTGCCCAGAGACCCCATTTGTGGCCTGGGCTTGACTGTGAGCTTGGCAACAATGTCTTGGCCTTGTTGTTTCCCGATTCCCAGGAGTGAAAGGACGCTGAGCTGTAAAGTAAAGGTGTACGTTAAGATGTACGGGAGATTAAAACACAAGCATCAAGACCAGGAGAAAGAGCTACGCGAAGGAATTCAAAGGCGCAGAGAGAGAGGTCTTCGAGATTCTTAGCATTAACTTTCCGGCTAGTTGGAGGTTTCAGTACAGTATTTGCGCAGTCACACACAAGCATGTTTGCCTGCATGCTGCCACTGGGGTGCATGGAAACAGAGCATGGAAGAAAAGGGAGAAACAGCTAAACCAAGCCAGGGAGCGGGCTCATACGCCGAGAAACAAAAGGCAGTTCAGGAAGAAGGAGGGGAGGGTACTTCTTTGTTGGAACTCGAGGTTCAAAACCACCGGCCCCACCCAGCTCGGGACAGCCTGCAACGGGGACTCGCAGGGCTGCCCGAGGCGCGGGAGGCCGAGCGGGTCTGGGAGGGCGTGGACAGAGGCCGAGCAGGCGCGCTCGGAAAAGGGCGCCCCCGGGACTGGAGTGGGTGGGACCTTGGCTCCTAGCTTCGGCCTCCCACCCCCCAACCCGACTCCAATCTTGGCTCGGCACCTCCCAGCGCACTCTCTGGCCGGGGCGGACCGGGCCTTTGCAAGCCAGAACCCAGCCCATCGCCCTCCCCGCGCTCCTCCCGGGAGCTGCGGGTCACAGGTTAAGCTAATCTGTTCGCAGACGGCACCGGGGAGCTGATGCCAACGGCCCAGCTCCGGGGAATCACGATTTATATTTCTTGGAACAGTTCTTCCTTCCATTGCATTGACGCCTTGAAAAAAAGGTGACTTAGCCAAGCTCAGAGCCGACTCAGGTCTTGCTAATTGATTAGCATGAGCGAGGACTGAGACCTCGACGTGGCCCTAGACAAGTAAAAAGAGGAAGGGAGGAAGAAAGGAGGCCGGTAATGGGCCTCGAGGAAGCCTCGGCGGTGCTTTACCGGAGGGCAGGGCCGTGGGCGCGGGGACCGTTTCAGGGCGAGGCGGCCCCTGCGGGCG